GTAAATTGCGGCAATTTCCGAATTTGTTATTAGACCGCCCGACAAATTCTCGAGAACTCGATAAAGAAATTTTAGTTTAATGTATCTGTATCTACCCGTGCATTATCTCAGTTGTCAATATAACTTATGAATAGTAGAGAGTACTAAATAGGTAAGATAAGCACTTATCTAAATGGTGTACAAGATAAGATAAGGGTTATCTCTTATCATATCAGTGGCTATTAAGACACAATGTAACCGATAAGATCGTCAATATATTATACTATGTGATGTGTAATGTTGAAAATTTATATATAAGCAGGTAACTTTTCTCTTCACTCTTCTCTTTACCTTAAACATATACAAAATTTAATTTTTATAAAACGATGGATACTTCCATTGAACAATCACTTATTACACTTACTACTAATCCACCTATTCATAATAGTGTCGGGATTGACTCGCGTGATGTTGGTACCCCAGATAATTGGATTCCTCGTCATCCTGAAATGATAAGGTTAACAGGAAAACATCCTTTTAATGCGGAAGCGCCATTATCCCTCTTGATGGAACAAGGGTTTATCACACCAAACTCCTTACACTATGTGAGAAATCATGGACCTGTACCGAAACTTAAATGGGAAACACATCGTTTAACTGTTGATGGGTGAGTAATATATTATTATGTAATGAAATACTTTTTTTTTTTTTTTTTAAAGAAAAATAAATTTTTAATAATAAATATTATGATTTAGACTCGTGTCAAAACCCTTAACATTATCAATGGATAATATTGAGAGCCTTCCTTATAAAGAGTTTCCCGTGACCCTTTGCTGTGCCGGAAACAGAAGAAAAGAACAAAACATGATAAAACAAACGAAAGGGTTTAATTGGGGAGCAGCAGCTACAAGTTGTGCGATTTGGAAAGGAGTCCCGTTAAGTCATATTTTAAAATTAGCAGGTGTCGAAGACGGAACCCATAATAAGCCTCGCTATGTGTGCTTTGCCGGTTGTGATAAATTACCAAACGGCTATTATGGTACAAGTATTCCTTTGGAATGGGCGATGAACGATGCTAATGATGTCATCTTGGCATACGGGATGAATGGAGAAAGGTTACCACCCGATCATGGTTATCCATTACGTGCTCTAATTCCAGGATGTATCGGTGGGCGTATGGTTAAATGGCTTTCAAGTATCACAGTATCCGACAAAGAATCAGACAGTTATTATCATTATTATGATAACCGTGTTCTTCCTCCAGAGTATGATATGGAACGAGCAACTAAAGAAAAAATTTGGTATAACCCAGATTATATTATCAACAAACTTAATATTAACTCAGCTATAACAACGCCAGCACACAATGAACAGATTTCATTGTCAAGTTTTGTTAGTACAAAAGAATACACAATCAAGGGATATGCATATACCGGAGGTGGTCATAAGGTTACTCGTGTTGAAATTTCTTTAGATGGTGGCAAAAAATGGCTTCTTGCAAATTTGACACAACCAGAACTTGAACATCCAGCAGTTCTAAATAGAGGAATAAATCCTATTCCACGATTTTGGTGTTGGAGTTTTTGGTCAATATCTGTCCCACTTTATTCATTTATTCGATGTGAAGAAATTGCAGTGAGAGCTTGGGATGCCTCTCATAATACACAACCACAAGAACCAACTTGGAATGTAATGGGAATGATGAATAATTGTCATTTTCGCGTAAAAGTCAATACAGTTAGTCAAGGAAAAGAATTCTTTTTAGCATTTCAACATCCAACTCAACCTGGTAATAATCCCGGCGGTTGGATGGTTAAACCCGAACCATTACCACTAAAAACGGCAATGGTGACTGGACTATCAACCACTAATAACAAAAAATATTCTATTAATCAAGTGGAAAAACATAATGCCGAAGGAGATTGTTGGATTATTATAGATAAAAAAGTCTATGATTGTACTAAATTCCTGAAAGTACATCCTGGTGGTAAGTATTATTTTAAAATTTTTATGTTACCGAGAACCCATCTACATTACACTTGAATATGCAAATGATTGGATATAGGGTAATTTAGGAAGGGTTCTCGGATATTATTGGTTATTATAATGATCATTCTGATTTATATTTATTTCTTATCTATAGGTATTGATGCAATTCTTATCAATGCGGGAAAAGATGTTACGGATGAGTTCAATGCCATTCATTCAAACAGAGCAAGATCTAAGTTGACCAATTTCTATATCGGTGATTTATCGGAAATACCACAAGCAAAAATATAATTATCATTATTCAATCATTAAAAAAAAAAAAAAAAAAAAAATCAAAAATATTTTATGCATCAACCTTGCGTAAATATAAACATATAATTTATAATCATAAAGTTTTGAATTATTTTTCTAAATTCGTATAGGTTGTTAAAAAATATATGTATGAAGGTTTCGTGACTGACAACAATTCTTGACATTTATGCTATAATAAATGTTTTAAGAGTTCTCCTCAACAAATATTTTGTTCTCCTTAACAAATATGTTTATAAGAGGCAGTTAAACCTTTCATCGTTTCGTTATACTTTTAAATAATTGAATAGCACAAAGAAATAAAATTTAAATTTATTGAAGCTCCTTTTCTCATGTACACCATCTTTAGTATCGACCAATTATTGGCTTTTTATTTAAGGATGTAACCAATGGAATATAACATTCGTTATACAATATGTACCAATACGGCTATTTTTTGAGTGTGCGAGTATACAAATCAATTTTAGCAAAAAACAATAAATAAAAATAACGATAAGGGAATATTATTATAGAGCTATAGCATTGTGGCACTACCCTATATGTAAACATAAGAGTCGGTGTAATATAAAATCAAAATAATATATTTTATTTAGGGAATTGCTATTTCCACCCCCTATTTTTGCTAATGCCACCCTCCAAAATACATAAAAGTACTCCGGAAGAGGTATCTTACTAAGTAAACCTCTTTTTTAGTATTAATTAAAGTTGTTTGTTAGGTCTTTCTGGTTCTAATGGT